ATGTCTACGCCTAACATGCCTGCAAACAAAGGATCGCGACTAATCATGGTGCATTGCGGAGGAAGTAAAGGATGGGTTCCGATTTCTTTGAAATTATGTGGAAAAAACTTGAGGACTGCAATGTTGACTATCATAAGAGCATGGAAGGTAATACTTTCGAGAAATGGTTTGAAAACACATTGATCCCAAATTTAAATGCGAATAGTGTGATAGTTCTTGAATAAAAATTCGAGGAAAGATGAAATACAAAGTTTTTTCAATGGATAAAAAATTGTATTTTGAAGATTACTACACCAAAAATCAACTACTTGAAATTTTACAGACAAAAACATTCGAAAAAGTGTATGCCCTTGAGAGTATTGCTGAAAAGTATGGACACACCATACTGATACTTCCCCTCTATTTTTATGTTTTCAATCCCATCGAGTTGATTTGGGGAAAATTGAAACAAAGCATCAGGCGTAAAAATAATTTTCCAAAATTTGGTGAGAAGGTTCTAGAGCTAACTAAAAAAGAAGTATCTAATATTACCGAAAAAGGCAGAAAAGGATTAAAAAAGTAGTTTTAGTTGAAAAAGACTATGGAGATTGGACACTTCCATATTAATGGTGGAAATAAATTCATCATTGATTTTAAAGACGACAGTGACAGAGAAACAGAGAATATGGAAGAGGAATTATCAGAAGCTTTCGAAGAAAGTTAGTGAAGTATTTTTGAAGCGATCGATTGTATTCTACTGCTTCCGCAGTTGTCAGTTGATTGGTCAAACCACCAACACTGACATATAAACTTGGCAAGTTGACTTGGGTGTCACCCCAATAGGTGGTTCCACTTATGTCTCGCTTGCGCTTGCTGAAACAGCTATCTACCGGTGGCTCCTAAATTGAAATCAGTATGGGAGTAATCAGAATAGTGCCTATCTATTTATTATATCTATTTTTATGATTTATATTATATAGTTATTGTGATTCTTATATAATCAGAAATGATTATTGAATTATTGAATAACGAAATTAGTTCCCTAACTATATCATCAAAAGGGAGCTATTGGAAGGTATAAAGGTTGCACTACATCGTTTACTTGAACTATACCTAACATTTGTTGGGGTGAGCAAAAAGTTTCAAAGGCAATTTCTTCGCTCAACTTTTTGAAAATTTTATTCAATACGTACCTAAGTGTATCTCAGTTTATACGGGAGGACAAAGAACTTTAAATTAATGTATTTTCGAAAAGTCTAAGATTTACGAATAGTCTCCCTAAATTCAAGTTTCCTAATTAACCTATTTAGTATATTCGAAGTATGTTGCTTTCGGCTGTGGACCTGATAACACTTTTCTCAATATCGTATCTTTCTTTACCCAAGAGAAACGTAACAAGCATGTGGATAGGAAAGTTTTATCCTGCCATTTTTTGTTATGGACAATGGTGTGAGTTATCAGGAATATATCTAAAAATAGGTACTGGTATTTTTCCTATATACATCAAATTTTAGTCCCTGGTTAATTCTAATCACTAAGTCATTGAAGATTGCTAAGTTAATGTTGTTTTCAATTTCATATGAAACATTAAAGTTTGGGGATGTGTTGTTGAGAGTTGTCCTCAAAGTCAAAATCGCAAATATATCATTTCCATATCGGATCTAAGTACGTGGAAAGTAATCTAATTCCTCTTTTGCTTCCAATTCAAATCTGCTCATGAAAAAGTCATTCAGTAACA